AAGTGTGTGTGTGTGTGTGTGTGTGTGTGTGTGTGTGTGTGTGTGTGTAATGGCTGACTGATTTAGAAAATAATAATAATTAAAACAGAAAACTGTGAAATTGCAATTTACATTTAATTTTAATTTTAAATTGCTCTCTAGATTCCTAAAGTGTCGGTACCCTTCTTATTTTTTACACCCCTGCTCCTAAGACACCTTAAATCTGGCTTTACTCCAGAAATGGAGATATCTAAACGGTCGCTTTGGTGGCGTATCCTATTGGTACCTGTAAACATGTATATATTATTATTATGTCTTTTTAAAACAAGAAACATGTATTGAAATCCTTTTATCTTGAAAAGGGTTCCATCTGTAGTCATAATGTGCACCTCCACTCTCTTAGACCACAGCACCTTAGAATAGGTGCAGCTTATTAATGAAGGTTAGACTCTCATCATTTTACATTATTACAATATTTGTAACCTCCTCCTCCTCCTCAGGATTCAGAGAAGCGCACCCCGCTGCACGCTGCCGCCTTCCTGGGAGATGCAGAGATCACCGAGCTCCTCATCCTCTCCGGTAAAATCATTTCACCTTCTCTGAGTTTTATCTTCCATCTTTCTGTTAAAGGTCACCTATTATGCAAAATCCACTTCCTCATGTCCTTTCTACATAAACAGGAACAAAGATGCTCTCTCTTTTTGATCCATTTCTATAAAAACCTGTCTGAAAATGAGCTGATCAGATTTTGGCCACTTGATGATGTCATAACGATGTTTTGGCTTGTGTAACCATTAGCCAATCAGCAACCAAGGTAACCCCCCCCTTATAACCTGAATCTCCTCCTAGAGCACCATTGAGTTCTTTGTAACCAAATGTCTCTCAGAGGGGCGTGGGGAGGGGCTCCTTATTTCCATCTAAAGTAACAGACAGAGAATCAGCACTTTGGAAACAGGGCTGAAACAGAGGGGATTATGGGTAATGCTGCAATGATCTGATTAGTGTTTCAGCCAATCAGAGACAGGTTCTGTATATATCTGAGACCTGTGATAGATTGATGAAAAACATTATAATAGGGGACCTTTTAAACTGCTCTCATAATGCCTGCAACTGTGCTTCTTTTTCATCATATCTGAATACAAGTGAACAGTGTATCTGCATAACACGTATTAAAATGCCAGATCATAAAAAAAGCTTTATTTAAATGCTTTAGTCCGCTTCCTTTTCTTTTCTGATTACACCTCAAGGTAATTTTTTCCTACAGAGAAAGTACATATTTATAAAATCTCATTAACATATTTAGACATATATTTAAAATAGTTCTCAAAAAGCTGGGCACTGTAGTTCCTGCCATTAGCCGCTTTCACACCGCAGGACTTGCCGTACTTTAGTGCCGGCTCTAAAGTACCACGGCACTGAATCCGCCAGGGGGCCCCTGGCGGATTCAGTGCCGTGGTACTTTAGAGCCGGCACTAAAGTACGGCAAGTCCTGCGGTGTGAAAGCGGCTAATGGCAGGAACTACAGTGCCCANCCAGCTCAGCTTCAAAAGTTGAACATTGCTCAACTTTTGAATCCTGAAAATCCTGTAAATCTTCGCTTCGCTTCCCCACAATGCAGTTCGGCGAAAAGCGAGGCAAAGTGACGTCACTCCCATTCAAAGTCAATGGGCAGAGAAGCGTTGGAAGATTTTTCTAAAGCTGCTGTGTGGACGTATTTTCCCGCTGATGTTGTTATTCGGCCGTGATGATTCATTGACCTTCTGCATGTTGGAGATTTTTTCCATACAACTACATTTAAAGGTGGGGTAGGTAAGTTTGAGAAACCGGCTCGAGATACACTTTTTGTTATATTCCATGGAATGCTCTTAACATCCCGATAGCAATGAATATCTGAAGTGCTTTGACAAAAAATACATTAAAAAATATCATCTGTGGAAGCCGTAGTACTGTAAAAAGCACGACCAATCATCTGAGCCCGGCTAAAGTAACTGCATGGCCTACCTGCCTGTCAGCCTTCCATCTGTGCACAAACTTATCTCGTGCCCTCATTGGTCATGTGCGCGTTCGTGTGTGTTGGAGGAGGGGCTCTGTAAGGAAGGGGCAGATTTTTTCCAGCTGTGTATTTTCAAATTCTAGCACACTCGAGCTGGTTTCTCCAAAATGACCTACCCCACCTTTAATATGCTATTTGTTCCAAACTCACATATTTTGATAGCTGGAATTGGCCCTTCATAGTGTATATTTGACAGTAAGTCTTCCAATATATTTCCACCACTGCCTTTATATATATTTTACTTTAAGGTTCTGTTTTTATTTTGAGATCTTTTGTTTATGTCTGTTTATTTTTTTCTCCTTTTCATTTTCACATTGTGTGCCATGCCTTGTTTACATGCTGCTGTAACAAAAACAATTCTCAAATTGGGATCAATAAAGTATATCTTATCTTATCTTATCAGGAGATTGACAGATGAAGAAACACACCTGGAGCTCACAACTGATTTACCTGTCTTTTGTCTTCAGCCTCAACGTATTTTTCATGGTGCCTTTTTATGATTTCATTCTTTAGCCGTGCTTTCTTTCCATAGAATCCTTTTAAACCTGAAAAAATACAATAATTACGTGTATTTAAGCCATGTATACTTCCTACACAATCTATATATTCGAAGCTGGGCAAATATAACAATAAAACTGTTGGACTATACATGTGTCAACCATTTAAAAATGTATTCTTTAGTGCTGTAGATACCTCCTACATCTCTTGTTAATGCCGCCATGTTACACATCAATAATCTGGACAGCTTTATGAAATATTGGATTTTAATAAGAATTGTTGTACATTTGATAAAGTGACTTGACTTGTGTGAGGGTTTATTTGCGGCATTAGCCAAAACAAACACTATTAAGTGGTTAGGAGCCTCGGTATAATAATACATTGACATACTATCATAGTGGATTTGATCTGTATTGCCCTCTTCTAGATGCACCACTGTTGAAAATCACTTATCATAGTAACTTACTAATGAACAACATATTTAAATCTAGGCTCATGTTATGTTTGTCACTATTTGGTTAACTATTCCTGCATTTTGTGTCAGGATATCAAATCCAAAAACAATATGTTGGTGTCCAATAAAAAGGATTTATACTCATACAAGTCAAAGAGACACACATATTAGTCTTGCTTGGGGTGTAACCGTTTTTCCACCCAAACTTGGTACACTAGATAATATTAGGAAAGAAAGACACCCACTGCCTAAACACTTAATCACTGCAATTAACAACACATTATAAAAAAGGGTGACATTAAACGCCTCACCTTCCAGATGCTTCTTCCCGTTTCTGTGGACTGTCAGCGTGTCCACCGTGTCAAACACAGGACGGTAAGAGCACACAAGGCAAGTGTATCTAGAAACACAATTTAACAGTTTAATTATTAGTTTAATTTCTTCAGTTAGAGCTTTAACAACCTCAAAGTACAAGAGTTTCATTCACAAACATGTCACTGTTTTTAAAGTTCGTTTCACCTTCCATTATTCATAAGAGTTGCTTCATCTTCTGGAATATAATTAGACAGGAGATCTGCAACACGGCGTTTCTGGAACACAAAAACAACGAGGAGTGGTTCATTAATTCTAACTTTATAACAGTTTCAAAGATACAATCTTAAATATGTGGATACAGTTAGCTAGCATTATGCTAACCATAACAACATCCATAACCTCAACTGAAGTGTCTAATAGAAACGTTAATGTTACCTTCAGGATGTTCAATTGACTCTTGTCATCACCTTCCCTTTTAAAAGACATAATTATTATGGTTGATAATATCAAAAATAGTGGTCAATAGTAACGGGTTAGCATAGCTGACTAGCTAATTCACGACAACGACAAGCTAATGTTGCGTTCCCTGTCGGAAAGGAAAATGGGAATTACAAGCTTCATATTTGAAAATATAGTTCAGATCAGTTTTGAAGTGCTAAATTGTTATGATCTCCAGTTCATTTACAACAATTAGATTATTTAAACTATTATCATTTATATTAGATTAAACTTTTGGAATTTTCAAAAACTTGAAACACTTAAAATTGTAGGTACTGTCCCTTAACACATTAGCTGCAATATATGACGTTATTTGAAATGCACCACATAAAGTGTACATGTGTTTAACGCTCAGAAAACCGTGAACTAATTTCAGAAATCTCCATTTGCTTCAATTAGATTACATGTTAGGTTTCAAGATTTCAGTTCGTTGCGGTTATTCTAATTGTCATGAATGCAGCACATGTGACGACTCACGGGACTGAACACGGCAGCCATGGCAACACACGGCAGCTGACAGCTGGACACATGAACATATTCGCAACTTTCTCCCAAACTGTTCAGCTGTTTATTTGAGAAACATGGTTATTAAAACTTGCTGTGAAGTAAGTTATAGTCTTTAAATGTAGCATAGGTTTGACAGGTAGCGTTGACACAAAAAGAACGAGCGTCATGCTTAAGTGAGATTACCATTTAGCTAGAATGCTAACTAAGCTGCTAGTTAGTTTGCTTCTCATTATGTCAACAACGTTAGCTTGTAGCCACACTTTACCACCGTTTGCTCGGTTGTTATCTTGCCGATTTGTTCGCTACTATGTCTGGGGAGAGAGCTCCTTTGCCCGGTGGGGGTAACAGCCTCCTCCTGGGGAACCGGACCCGGTCTTACGGTAGTTTAGTCCGCTCTCCTCTCTCTCCGGTTCGCCAGAGACGCATTGAACACAGCATTCAGCCCGGAGAAACACTGCAAGGCCTGGCCCTGAAATATGGAGTTTCTGTAAGTAAAAACATATATTATATGTTTGTATGTTTGTAACTTATATTGGAAATATTGTGATACCCTGCCTCCCAATGAAATATCCCCTTTTGCTATATTTGGATGCAGGATATACACATTTCATGTTTATTTCTTATTGTCCTTATACAAATGGACTAGTTATTAGTGTGTGTGCACTTTTGGGTAAAATTATTCAGGTACAGTAATACTTTTTATTTTATTTATAGAGCTTTTATAGGTTCTCAATGACACTTAGTGGTACACTAAGTACTAGTAGTATTAAGTAAGTAATATGAATGATGGTTTAGTAAAATGAAGTTGATTATGATCAACACTGTCAACCTTCATATCAAAAACTATATTTTAAATTGTTACAAATGTGCATCGATTTGCATTGCTCTCCTGCTGTTGATTTTGACTTCTAAAAAGGTCCAATACATTTTATATTATTAAGATAAACCATAATTAGTCACGTTTATGTAATTAAGTATACACAACGCTGACATGCAATCTTCTCTCACAGATGGAGCAAATCAAAAGAGCCAACAGGCTGTACACCAATGACTCCATATTCCTGAAGAAGTCCTTATCAATCCCTGTGCTGTCAGACTTGGCCCACTGTAGTGACGGGGGGGATTTGTTCGAAGAGGACAGTGAAGAGGACAGCGCTGGCTCGGTCTCCAAACAAAACGGGCACACGAGGAGCCCCTCAGAGAGGAAGCAGAACGATGACAGAGAAAGAGCGTCGGACCTTACTCCGGTGGACTTTTTGAAAAGGTTGGACGACTTGATAAGTCAATCCAAGCAGGCGGCGGTGAGAGGATGTCAGGAGGCAGAGAAGAGGTACACGCTTGTTTACGCTGGTTGTTCAGACACAGTCATGCTCTGGATTGGCTGTGACAGATCCTCAAGTCTTGACATTTTATTTGCTGTCTGGCATTCCCTGTGAGTGATTTTTGGCGTCAAGTTTAATACTTACAGTATAACACCCTTTCATTTCTAAGTCCTCTCACATCGTATGCACCTGCTTTAAAAGCCAATGTTGCACCTAAAATAAGATTGTCTTTTCATGTTGTTTATGAATGTAGTTGAACAAGATCCGTTTGGCACTCACAGGACTCTTAACTCCTGTTCACGCCGGATATTACCATGCACCTTGGGCAAACAACTCATAAGTGAACAGCTTTAAATTCGAGTCTAACCGCCCCCGAGATTCTATCACTTGCACCACACAGAGAAAGGTGCAACAGGAAATCACTTCAACGCCCCAGATCTCGTTTTGTTCCTCTTTCTCTCGTCTTCACTTGGTTCTCAAAGCACTTGTGCAGGTTATACATTAATACCATTGAAGCTCTGTAGACTGAACTTAGAAAGAAAACCTTATACCTCTCTCAGAGGTGGAGGACAGCGTCTTCCCTTTCTGCTTTTTACAATAAAAGCTGAAGTCTTATACACTTCATCACATACTTAAATTCACTTCTTGCAACTCAACAAAACTCCTTTCACTCGCTATTTAAACAATGTCTGAACATGTCAAAAAGCACATATGAGTGTTTCCAACATTTTTAGTGAATAGCATTCCTGCTTCATACTTTAATTTCTGGAAAACTTGGCACAGGAAGTGAATTTCCGCCAATTACAAACAGCGATGAATTTAGCCTAAATGCGAATAAAATGTGTTTACTCTGAAAACACAAAAGTGGCATGTTAATGTCAGGTGTGCACAGTGTCATAATCCCAGAGCAAGAGAAGGGTTATCACAATATCACTGACATTATGCATGCTGATGAAGTGAAACGATCAGTCTTCACACTTACTGTATCTGTCTATCTCTCACAGGGTGGCCTCTATAGAAGCAGCTTGCAGCAGCGAGGCCTCAGCCTGTCGGCCGCTCACCAGGTCGCAGAGCGCCTTTTCATCCCCCACAATGCAGCAGGCATCACATGCGGCCGTTCCCCTCACTATCACCAAACTCACCAGGAAACTGAGAGACGGGGAGGATGAGATCTTCCAGCTGTGACACGTTGTTCGTGCACTCTGATCGTTAAAGAAAAAAACCGCTCAGAAAGCCACGTCGCAGGATTTGAACATTTCAAAAAGAGGAATGTATCTCCACTCATCCTGCTGCTGTATGCCATTTTTTTTTTTAAACTTATAATATGAAGTTACACACTGTATTTCAAACCGTTTTAAAAACATGAATACTGCTTTTTATGTAGCTTTCTTGTTTACTTGTTGAGAAATACTGTAGATGATGTAAATCTTCATATGGCCAATAGCACAAACGTATCTTCACAGAACAAGAGCGTGAAATGTTAGAAATGAGAATGCACAGTCAGAAGTTGCTTCGGTCGTATGACTCTTCGTATACCTCACCGTCTGATTATGCAGCGTTGGGCGAGTCTTCTGACTAAAGCCTGTAGCCATAGTTCATTTATGAATCATGTTCACTGTGGAAATGGTCACTGGTGAAGAAGCTTAGTCTAACGTTGCAAAGCTTAGTCTAACGTAGCATTCGTTTTCTACATTTTATTTCAGTTTTATAAACAGGCCATGTTTTTTGTTGAGGTCTTTAAAAAATATATATATATTGACACCTTGTCCAAACTTTCTCAAGTAAATATTTTTTATTAGAACTTTAAAAAAAAAGCTTTCTGTAAATTAATAGTTGAACAAATTTGATCCACAAAAACAGTATTTTCGCAGTTAAACTACATTGCGAGCGGATAAAGTGGAGTGTCTCGTTGGGGCTGGATTTGAACTTGTTTTGTTGATTTTAATTATGTCTTGGTAACGTAAAACCAAAGAACAACACCTGTCTTAATCTCAGACAACGGCTGTGATCAACTCTCCAGAATAACACGAGTCATAAGATTAACATTAAGCTCTTCCTGTCAACACCACTTAGCCATCAGTCGGTTTGTTAATGCTGCTAAACATGTTTTTGAAGTGTTGGTGTAAGTCATTGTCTACTGCGGAGTTATTTGGCTTTATTATTGGCTTCCGGAAGCTTTGGGAAATACAGTACAATGAAGCGGCGTCTTCACCACCAGATGGCAGTGTTGTATTACAGTGGCATTGTTCCCTGTCTGTCCTCTCCATGCAATATTTCCAGCTGCTAACATCTCTCCTGAATACCCAACATCAGTAGTTCTCAAAGAAACATTTCAAGGTCTCAAATATCAAGCATCTAATGACATTTCATTATCTAATAAAAACAGCCGATACAGTATAAACTAGTTTATGTTCAAGTTATTTTGTCTAAGTATACATCACAATTAAACAGTATATCACCTCTGAACACAGAACACTTGAGGAATGAGTCAATCATCCTCATCCCGCATGTTCTTCGAGAACGATGGCGCGTCATTTGTTCTCAAATCACTTGTTTTACGTTGCCATTCCTCAGCAGCAGTAAGACCAAAATGTGTCCAACAGTTCTGAGTCTCATGTGAGTCTGTTGATCTCCCAGTGTCTGTGTGACATTTGATTGTTTTTTTGTTTTGTTTTGACGTCATATTGTCCCGTCCTCCATGAGTTTGTCGAGTCCTTTGCAGATCTTCGTGAGGTTGGGTCTGAAGGTGCCGCTGGGGTCGTACAGTTTGGTCAGGAGCTCGGGGTCGGAGTAATGGTTGAACACGTGGTTGATGCGGTTGTGGGATTTGGGGGTGAGGTGGCTGTTGACCAGCTTCAACAACAGATCCCTGCAGCTGGTCAGGAGTTCTGACATCACCCCGTTATCGAAGGTGAAATCCACCTGAGGGAGTAAGGCAGAAAGTCATGACTAAGGATTCCATTACATGTCATTTAGCATTTAGCAAAGCGACTTACATACACCTCAATACCATGGAATGCATTCCTACTGGAGCAATTAGGGGTTCAATACAGTATATTGCCCAAGGATGCTTCAACATGCTTACTGCAGCGACTGGAGATTGAACTACTGAAACTTCAATTGGTGGACGTCCATTTTCCCCCTCACGGCCCGTCCACACTACAGATTCGACAGCTTCAAAAACGGTTTCCAACGCGTCTGCCCATTCACTTTGAATGGGGTGACGTCACGTTGCCTCGCTTTTCGCCGAACTGAATTGTGGGTAGCAGAGCGGAGCTTTCCTGGCGTTTCAGGCTGCAAAAGTTGAACAATGTTCAACTTCTGAAGCCGGAGACGCCGGAGTAGCCAGCGTCAGCCAATCAAATCCCGTTTATGCAAATCTGACAGTTCAAGCGCTAGCCAATCAAGGAGAGCCAGACCGCAGTTCATTTCCTCATATTCCAAACGAGAAATTACGGTAGCAAATCACCCGGTTCTTTACGACCAGAACTATTTACTGGGATACAAACCGGAGGAACCAGGCATGGAGGGAGGTGGCAGAGACAGTGGGTGAAACTGGTAGGTTTTCGCCTGTTTGGGGATTATATATATATATATTGCTCGCATAAAATCCCCGGGGTTTTTTGCTTTGTATGCCGGGGGCGGGACATTCATGTGATTGGTTGTTGGTCGCGGTGCTCGAATAAAATCCCCAAGCTTCAGACACGCCCAGCTCCAAGCTTTTTTTGAAGCTATAGTGTGGACGGGCCGTCAGCCACAACCAACCTACCCCTAGTTAATATTGAACTTGGAAAATGGACTGTATTGTATGTATATGGTGCAGTCTTAAACTCCTCTAGGCGCTTTACATACTTCAAGTCTTCATTCACACACATTCAAAGAGAGAAATGTGCCACTTTTGTTCAGGGAATCCAATATTCACACACCGTTAGCCTTGCAATCGGGAGCAACTCGGGGTTAAGTGTCCCCATAATTAAATATGTTCTTGCTGTTGTCCTTATTGTGGTTTGGTGTGATTCAAACCCATGCATGACTTCAACACCAGACATGGAAACAAGGTCATTTAGGGTCAAGTGCGTAGCTGCAGTTAAGTGGCCATCGCTGAGACCTTAGTCCTTGTTGATTCTGATTTTCTTGTTTGAAAGCAATCAAATGTTTCTTCGAATTTAGCAGTCTGGAGTCAAGCTGTTTCAAGTTTTCTGAACTGTGTGCATAGTTCCCTTTTTTGTGTGTATACAAAGCTGAAGTAATTACCCCACACACAACCAGTTTGAAGCACTGCAAGCATACAACTATTGCAATACCTTCTATCAGTGGGCCTTTTAGATTATTCACCGATGTGTTTTCTCCATTAGTGATGGATAGACTTACTAGAGAAGTACTTAAGAGCCACATAGCTTAAATAAAACCTTAAAAACCCTCTTTACAACCATTCCCTGCAACTTACTGCACACGTTTACCCTTGTAATACAGATTTGAAAGGCTATTTTAGTATTCTGCGTTGAACTTGGACATTTTCTGCCTAAACAATGTAATGTTAAGTGTCCTTATGTCTATTCCTTGATGAATCAGTTTTGAGATTAATTTCTGACTTCCTAAAGCCTGTTTATAGATTCTGTACTTTAAAAACAAATGTGTAAACGTACCTCGTAGAAGCTGATAGCCGTCATGGCCCCCTGGTGCAGCTTCTTCTTGAAATCCGTGGCGATCCCCAGCTCCTCCGTGCTGAAGCGGTTGTTCCTGAACAGCAAACCGATCTTCACGGCGATCTTCACCAGGTCTTTGATGACCTTCTGCGCCTCCGACTTGTTCCCCGAGTAGACTTTGGAGACGCGGTACAGTTCGTCCAGGATCTCGCTCGTGGTGTCGTCGATGAACATCTGGACCGAGCTCTTGGTGGCCATGCGGCTGAGGATCTTCTTCTGCGCGCTCAACGCCATGTCCTTGGAGCTGAAGTGGTCCATGGTTGTCTAGAGGGAAGGAAGAGACACACATTTTCAATTGTGCCTGTTGAGAGGTCCTCTGGAATAAGAGTTACATTTTGGATAGATCTTAATGTGTCATCAGGCCCTAATACTTCTTTACCTAAGAGCATGTTACTCTCTGCTCATAATACTGTTGACTTTCTATGCATTCGTTTCTCATGTGTAGAAAAGATAGGAAATAGGTAGTCACAAAGGAAACTGTATACATATCCAATTATGATTTGCACTGTTCAAACACATGTCAACTTTTAACGGAAGGCTCTGATTTTAGGTTGCACCTGACAACTATTGAAATCAAAATGTGAATTTGGTTACAGTTACATCTTCAGACTGTTGGACCAGTTTGTTTTGAGTGAAGCTATGAACTAAGAATAAAGTAATATAACTTTGACTTGGAAGAAAGCAGTAGTAAACATTGCTAATAGGTAGTTTCCAGCATTGGTGAGTAAAGTAACCACTTCTCCAAACGGTGTGCAGGACACAGATGTGTTTCAACCAACATGCGTCTCTTTCTGCAGATGGAAAAGATTCCCGGTCACTGGCTAGATTACAGCCTATCAATATCCTCAGCCTTAGTTCATAAATACAAGTGCTAAGAGCTCAAGTACAAGTTTGAGGTACTTGAATATTTTCATTGTATGCAATCTTATACTCCAACTCCGCTGTATTTCAAGGCGAATATTGTAGTTGTTTACGTTTATTTGGCAAAATGACTTACTAAAATACAGATCTTGAATGAAATATGATGTATTAAGCAGTCGTATATATCTATTAAGTTAATTACAAATGAACCCTACCTTTACAATATGCAACACATCATTGTTAAAAACATGAATGCATGAATAATTGTATTTCAGTAATATAATGTATGTTCTGAAATAGGCCTTTGGAACAAGGAGTTTTTGTACTTGAAGCCTATTTTGAAGCTAGTACTTTTGTACATAGGTAACATGTTGAAAGCAGAAGTGTATTAGAATATGTATACACTGCTGTAAGTAGAAGGATCTAAGTACTGTCTAGCAGTTAGAGGTGTACCCACACGCCCAACAATAATGCAGATATGTAAAGAAACTCCCTTTTTAAAGGAAGAGGAAGAACAGTGTTTTCACATCTGGTTACGGCTCTGCAGTTTCGTTCTTTTACTGGCAGACAACAAGCTGCTCCAGTGGGGCGTTTGGAGGTTAAGTGCTATGTTCAAGGGCCAAATGCTTGTTGTTACGGAGGCTGGGGAGGGCACCATATGTGCACCTCTCTTATCCAAAATGTCCAAGATGATCTGGGGATTTGAACCGCCTGCCCTCCTGTGGGTTATTACTCTGACTATCTAACCTTCAGACTGCTACCAACCCCATCCCTTTAGTCCACTTTAAAGCCTCATTTTCAGCTATATCAAATCAACAAGTAAATAGACTTCTACCCAGTGCTGGATTAACAAACAGTCCTGTTACATTTAAAGGTTCCCTATTATGTTGTTTTTCATCAATCTATCACAGGTCTCAGATATATACAGAGCCTGTCTCTGATTGGCTGAAACACCAAACAGATCATTGCAGCATTACCCATAATCCCCTCTGTTTGGTGTTTCAAAAGTGCTGA